AATACTAATGAAGAAGAAAATTTCAGAAATAACAAATAGAACAAAACCTAAACTTAATCCTTTTTGTACTGCAAAAGTATGGTGTCCTTGGAAAGTACCTTCTCTAGAAATATCTTTAAACCATAAAGTCATAGTAGAAACTAGAGAGATAAATCCAAGAGTTAATAAGAATAAACCATTAGAGTATCCTTGGAATGTCATTACTCCTGATAGAGTAACTACTAATAAAGAAAATGATACAGCAATTGGCCAAGGCGAAGCTTCAACTAAATGAAATGGATGCGCTTGAACTGATCTGTTCATAAATTTCGTTGTCATACTGTATATGTAATTCCTATCATACATTTCTTGAGGCTAATGCCTTAATACTTAGGCCCATCGGGGCGAATATACGCCCTAGATCAGGGCCTACGTCCAAGAAAAGTCAATAATTTATTATTGAAATAGTAATATATCTCTTTTTAATACCCTTAGGCCGCGAAACGGCCCTGGACCATTTGAGGTAAATAATTAACCGAGGGACCGGAGGTCCCCTGCAAGAGCTCGCCAAAATAATATTTTTATTTAAAATATCCGCGAAGCGGATATTTTAAACTACGCGGGCCCTCGCCTCAATAGGCCTACCTAATTACATATTAAATATAATATATAAACTACTAATTGCCGATAAAAGCCGTAGTTCAATAAATTATATTTATTAATATAAGCCCCCGGGTCGGGTTCACCCCTGACCTGGGGGTCCGGGGCGTCCGCCCCGGGGTGGGAAACTAGTTAAATTTCGGAAAACCTAGCTATCTATATCTTAAATGATATTAGATACTAATAAATTAATTTTGTAAGGCAATGCCCGTCAATGCCAGAAATATAATATATATCTAGACAATAGTAATATATTAAATATAATATATATACTATAATTAAGGTGAACCTATATTTTTAACCTTTACTTTTAATTTGTCAAGTTTATATACTATGCCTAGAACTCTTGATTGTTTAAAATTGATACCATAACGGGGTAATAGATATTGACTCATTGCCTCTCGTGTTGCAAGATTCGCATTTTCACAAAACTTTTTATTCAGTTAATATTTTTGCATTCAAGGAGATTTTTTTTTATATTCGTGGTTTTTATCTTATGGCTTCGCCGATATCATGTCTTGATCTTTTAATTTATCTATAGGTTGTCGTAGAGGGAATGGGGTGGTTATTTGTGAGGGTTAAGTTAAGTTAAAAGTAATGGTTACATTGATTGTCTGTATTCTGCAATTCTACCAACAATTTCGGGTACAAATAGAATGAATCCAATATTGATGAAGTATAATACTCCCATTATGATTACTAGATTCTTATTTTCATAAGGATCTTTGTAATATCTCTTTAATAGATAATCAAATAGGAATAATAATCCAGGGTTACCTACAAATGGTAATAATGTAAATAATAATGCGTTTAACATGTTGAATGCTAATGTTGATAAGTTAAGGGAAATCTACCACAGATAATGCCGTAGTTTGCTATATTAATATCTATTATTATTAGTAAATATTGTTATAGGTTTTCGGTGTTGAAAGGGGTGGTATATTTAAATCCCCTATGTTATATTTATTGATATTAAGGGATTTAAATTGGTAATTTATTGTACTATAATTAATTAATAGGGTTTATAGTAGGGTTAAGTCTAAATTAACCCAATATTTTATATTATCTATAACACATTAAAATAGCAATAAAAAGAAAGATAGTAGCATTTCTAGCTTCGTAATGATTAATAATAGCATTCCCGTAAAAAATATATTGATCTCGAGTCATATTTCTTAATACATCTGGAGGGAAATAATAATCTAAAATTCTCGCTACTTCATCACTAGACACTAACATCCAATCTAAAGGATTTGGATTATAAAGAATGTCAATTGATGTTAATAAAATTACTAAAAAAGACATAATGTTAGTTTATAACCAATGGTTATATAGGTAAAACATTTGTGAAAGTATGGAATTAATCCATTGAGAAATTACAAAACGGTACATAACCTATTATCATTACTTATAATATCTAATTATGGGCTTTACAATAAGGAGGTGATTAGTCTAATTGAAATAACTGAGTTCAATAATTATGTTTCATAATTATATGAAAGGAACACAGTTATTTCAACTATAGAAATTTAGCATAACAAAAGTGCTAACCTTTTAATAAGTTTAGTAGATGCTGGCTCATATTTAATATATATACCCTTTGGACGAGTATCGCCTGACGGGACTATTTTATATCTATAAAATAAATAAGCCCGCCGGGGCGACCCGTCGCCCGGAGAGGCTCCAGGCAGCCCCGGCGGCCCGAGGCCTTGATTAATCTCATAGTAATTATAATCAAAATCTGGTTTTATCACCTTAAGAAAATGAATATTTAGTATTAAACTCTAGGGGCGCCGCCCCTTACCCCTTGGGGTAGGGCAAGCCCTAAGCCCCCCGCGGGGCTAGTTTAACAAACTCGCTTTGTTAAGACAAGCCACGTCGGGCGATGCCCGTCGCTGCCCAAGTGGTAGCAGAGGCCGCAGCGCGGCCTCTGCGGCTTAAAAAGCTAGCCCGCGGAGCTAGGATCTATTCCCAATAATATATAGAAATAAAGGTTTTAAGTTATTGGGGGGAGGGAGTCCCCCCGGTAATAACCATTCAGCCACTCGTTCCCGAACGGCTACCTTGTTATGACTTCAGACCAGTCGTTTACTATCCTTGGATGTCTTTAGACAACTTCAGGTATAGCTTACTCCCAGCCCGTGACAGGCAGTTAGTAGATCTTGAAGCTTTAATTTCACCGTGACGTGGTGATTCACGATTACTAGCAATTCCTAATTCATGAGCTCGAGTTACAGAGCTCAATCCACAAAGGGGAAATTTGGGGATTACCTCCAAGTTACCTTATTGGATCCTTTTGTATTCCCCCTAGCTGCACGTCTGTAGCCCACTCCATAAGGGCCATGAGGGCTTGTCTTAGTCCTAATTATTCCAGTTTATCACTGGATGCTCAACTAGATATTAACTAGTTGCAAGGGTTTTGTTCGTTATGCGGACTTAACCTTACATCTCACGACACGAACTGAAGACAGCCATGCAACGCCTGTGTAGCATTCAAGGAGTGGTAAGATGTTGTGCGGATCATCACATTAAACAACATGCTTCACTGCTGGTTTTCAAGACCCTCTATACTTTTGGGTTTCAACCTTGCGGCAGTACTCCCCAGGTGGAGTGCTTTAATCTACATTTATAGACTGATTAATAACCAATCTAAGGCACTCATCGTTTACGGTATGGACTACACGGGTCTCTAATCCGTTTTGCTCCCCATACTTTCGTACCTCAGCGTCAGTGTTTAGTTAGAAAGAAGCCTTCGCCTTAAGCGGTCTTCCGAGGATCAACAGATTCCATCCCTACTCTCGGAGTTCCTCTTTCCTCCATTACACTCTAGTTTCACAGTTACTGAAAAGCTCTTATTCATTTAGTTCGATACCTTTCAGTCTTATGATACAGCCTACGTACCCTTTAGACCCATTAATGATGAATAATGCTTACCCCTCTCGTATTACCGCGACTGCTGGCACGAGATTGGTCGGGATTAATAGGAAAGTACAGTCATTATCCTCCTTTCCGTTAGGACTTTATCAAATTAATGTATCCGTCCTTCTAGGTGACTGGTTCAGCCTTTCGGCCATTGACCAAGATTCCGCACTGCTGCCGATACTTTGCTCGTGTGGGCCTTTCTCATTCCCACTGTGGTTGATCGTCCTCTCAGACCAACTATAGATCATTGGCTTGGTAAGCCGTTACCTTACCAACTACCTAATCTATTCAATAGGTACATCCATAGGCGGAATTAATCCGTTTCAATATTTGGTATTCCACCAATCCTATGGGTAGCTTGCCTATTCATTACTCACCCGTTCGCCATGTCAGAATACAAGTATTCCGCATTCGACTCGCATGTGTCAAGTCCCTAGATAGCATTCACTCGAAACTAAGTTTAAATTTTTACTTACTATTATAATTTGGAGAGATCGTTGATCTCCTCTTCTACTTCATTATAGTTGGAATAGAAGATATTATAAATTAAAATCTTATTTGTTACTTATATTTTACTAAATATAATTATTAGTTTCATTTTATTTAATGAACCCTGCCTCTTATTTTTAACCTAGCCCGCGGAGCCGCGTAGCGGCTCCGCTGGTCTGACCCGCGCGCGCTCCGCGCGCGGGGCTAGGCTTATATAATTCTTAATTAAGGCCCGCCGGGGCGACCCGTCGCCCAGGGGGGCTCCGGGCCGCCCCCGGCGGCCCGAGGGTTTAATTATAGTATATGTTAAATAGCCTCTGAGTCAGATTCACCCCCTGATCCCAGGTCCGGAGCGCACCCCCGGGGTAATAAACCTCTTACCTTTATTATAACCTTTAGATAATTATAATAAACCTCTTACCTTTATTATAACCCTTTAGATAATTATTAGGGGGGCCCGATCCAATAACGGATCGGACCCGTTTAGTATTAAGATGAATACCCGGGCCGACGGAGAGTCGGCCCGTAGACCTTAGGGGGGCGATCCTTCGCCCCCTCGGCCCTTATTAATATAAACAGATTACGCTGCGTATAGTAATAGGAATGCCATCATTAATGCGAATAGACCAATTGCTTCTGTTAAAGCGAACCCAAGAATTGTGTAAGAGAATAATTGAGGTCGTAGAGAAGGGTTTCGAGAAGTAGAGTTAATTAAAGCTGCGAATACTAATCCAACTCCAACTCCAGCTCCTGCTAGTCCAATAGTTGCTAATCCTGCTCCTAAAATTTTAGCTGCTGCTACCATAATTTTTTATTTATCCAGCCAAAGGCTAGTTAAGATAAAACATTTGTGAAGTATATGGAATTAATCCATTGAGAAATTACAAGACGGCACATAGATTACATTGTAATCTAGTTTTATTGCCTATTATCATTACTTATATTAATAATAACCCCAATCGGAATCGAACCGATATTCCCACAGTGAAGTTGTGGTGTCTTAACCATTGTACCATGAGGTCTATAAAAATCCAAAGGCCCTAAGCCGGGGACGCTGCCCCCCCCGGAGTTCACCTATCGCGTCTAAAGCGCGGCCTATATTTTGTTAAATTACTGGGCTGGGAAGGCTCGAACTCCCATTAGCCGACATCAAAAGTCGGTGACTTACCAATTAGTCAACAGCCCAATTAAACCCAAGAAAGCCGAGAGTTTAAAAATATCCGCAAAGCGGATATTTTTAAATAAAAATATTATTTTGGCAACCGTAGGCCGTTCTCCATAAGGAATGCTCAGCGTTCTGAGCTTTTGATCTGATGAATCTGACTTGGGCCTTTATCCAACTCAGGGGTTAAAAACCCAAGGGACTGAGTCCTCTCGGGTATCCCATTATTTAATTTTTAAATACGGGTAAAGGCCCACTTCCGTGGGCCTTTACCTTTTTTTTATTAAAATATGTGCTGGCTAGTAGAATTGAACTACTATTACCTCGATTACAAATCGAGTGCATTACCAATTATGCTAAGCCAACTTATTACTTTTATTTAATTAAACTATATATCTGATACTTAAACGATATACATAAATCCCTTGATAACAAAATATATAAGTAAGTAATTAGGTTTTGTCTTTTTAAAATATATTTTAATATTAAGGTTAATAATCTAGGGTCGGACTTCCGACTCAAGTCTTAACGGACATCTGGACTAAAACTTTACCCGAGGGACGGTCCCTTACCCCCCTGAGGGTCGAAGGTCGACCCCCCGCGGGGCTCATTATATATTTTGTTTGCATTTTACATGTTTCTCTTTAATATATAAGTTATATATTATAAATATAGACCTGATTGGTAATTAACCCTACCTAATCAGGCACAATTACAATAGCCCGGTGGAAGACGGGCTTCGTTCCGGGTACGGGGCGGCTCGCTGCCCCGGGATTTACGTTGTAATGGAATTTTCGATAAATTGAGGTAACTCCTCTTATCAGCCTAAATTACTAATTTTATTACATGAATAAAGAAATCTACAAATTAGTAGGAGCTGTAGGAGCAACTATGACAGGTATGTATACAGCGACTATGACTGCTGTTTCAAGACAGCAAGAAATTAATGCCAATAAAGAGGTTGCATTAAAAAAATTAGAACAGGTCCCCGGGTCGGGCACCCCTGGCCCGGTGGGCTGCGGGGCGCCTGCCCCGTGGATAAAATCTTCACTGAAGATAGACTGGCTTTGGATAAAGAAAGACTAGTATTCGATAGAGAAAGATTCGAATTTGAAAAACTAATAGTATCTCTTTCTGACAATGAATTTAATATTAATTCAGTCCAACCTTCTAGCGATATTAATTCAGCTTTTGAACCTTCTAATTTGGTAATGAAAAATCTGAGTTTAACATTTATTTGTTTTACTTCAGTAACTATTATTTTAACTATTAGTCTAACATTTAATTATTTAATTAAAATGTATGGAAACACGTTAGTACATAAATTACCTAGAATTTTTCACCCTTTTTATAACTTTTATAATAAATACTTATTATATTCAAGTCTATTTGATTTAAGTATTATTTTATTATGTCAATCAGTAGGATTATTGCTATGCTTATTTTTATATTTATCTTAATGAATAATCTTAATCAATATATTCTAATTAATATACCTCTATTAATAACCCCCCTTAATTTTCTAAAGCCCGGGGGGCTTTGACCCCTCGGGTATTAGACCCTTCGGGGCTAAAGGTTCTTACCCTCTAAGATTCTGGGCGAGGCCCAGAACTCAAGGATTAAGAGTACAAGCCCTAGATATACATCTAGGGTACTAAAACCTTTAATTATATATATCGTTTGATATATTTGATGATATGTTATTACCAAGTTACTTGAGAATTTAGTATTGCCCAGCTTAACATATTACTATGCTTACACCTGCAACCTATTAAGACTGTGATCTACAGTCACTCTAATAAAGAATCGTGTCAAGATGGGCTTCCCGCTTAAGACGCTATCAGCAGTTATCCTTTCTGAACGTAGCTTTCCTGCCGTACTGTAACAAACCGGGCCCGCCGAAGGCGGGACTGGTCAAAACGGGATCCCAGAGGGATCCCCTTTGGACCTAAAATAGGTAGTAAACAATAACAGGTATACCAGAGGTTCATATCACTCGGTCCTCTCGTACTAGAGTAATGTTCTTGTCCGATTCTAATTCCATTAGTAGATAGGAACCGTACTGTCTCACGACGTACTTAACCCAACTCACGTACCACTTTACTCGGCGAACAGCCGAACCCTTGGGAGCGCCTACACCCCCAGGATGTGATGAGTCGACATCGAGGTGCCAAACCAATCTGTCAATATGGACTCTCGAGATTGATCAGCCTGTTATCCCTAGCGTAGCTTTTATTCGTTGAGCGATGGCCATTCCATGATGGACCACCGGATCACTATGACCTACTTGCGTATCTGTATGACTTGTCAGTCTTACAGTTAAGCCGGCTTATGCCATTACACTTAATTAGGCTATCTTTAGCCCATTGGTTTCCATCCAATTTAAGCCGACCTTTGTACTTCTCCGGTACTATATGGGAGAAATCCGCCCCAGATAAACTGCCCATTAATCACTGTCCGGAATAATTCCGTATAGCGTGCTCCTAATCAAGTCAAGGTATTTCACTGATGTCTAATCGACTCCCTTGTATTCTACACCTTAATTATAAGCACACAATGACTAACTACAGTAAAGCTGCATAGGGTCTTCCCGTCTAGCTAATGGTAATCCGCATCTGCACGGATAATTCAATTTCACTGAGCTCATCTTGGAGACAGTAAGAGTATCGTTAAACCATTCATGCGCGACCATAATTAGTGGCCAAGGTATTTCGCTCAAATTCCACGCAATGAATGTCGGATAAACAACGGGGTCCCATCTAATTAAGGATGAGGCCGTTGGTATCCTGGGTCCACACCTTTCGATGTGGCTTGGACTATATCATGATCTGTTTATTTTCTATTCAGATTTATTCCTGCTTGAATTGTTCTAATCTTATCTAATCCTTCCGGAGTTAAATGAAGTTTATTTTCTAACATTGAATGAACCAGTTTAAAATCTAAATAATCTAAAGACTTAACAGTCAATAGTGAGTTCTGATCTAAGAAGGGAAATAGTTTCTTTGATAAATCTTGTCTATCTCTGATTCTATATTGTAGTTTCATGGGAGTATCATTAATAACATATCCACATCCAAAAAAATCAACTAATTTATTCATTAATTCTTTATCTCGGATGTGTTGAGTGATTGAGAATTCAAGTGATACTTGATATCCTAATTTCATTGATTTGTTTTTAGAAACACTTACATGGAAACATCCTTCTCCATCAATAAATCCTACGATCCAATTAGGATTAAGTAAACTCGCATTATATAATAATTTTATATCCATAGTTTTGATTTAACCGGGTCGAGTCATTAGTATCTCCCTTGCGACTATTTAATAATGTTGTTGAAATAGGACTTATGTCCTACTTATACCTTAAATAGTTATTTGATTAAATCAATATAAACAGATCCCCAACGTGTAGTCTCTGAGGGGTCAATTACGACTTCCCTGCTGATTGTCCAATTCTTTAGATTTTCACTGCGATCAATGATCACGAGTACTAAAGACTCTAAGGAGTTTCCAGCATATAGTTAGGTTCAAGACATAATCACTTATGTCAGGGGCAGCGAATAATAATTCTTCTCCTTAACGGAGCTACCTGAGGATCGTTATAGTTACAACCGCTGTTTACTGGAGGTTCAATCAGCACCGTATTAGTGCCTCTCTTGACTTACCAGCACTGAGCAGGTATCAGTCTTTATACATCTAGTTTCCTATTAGCAAAGACCGGTGTTTTAAGTAAACAGTCGTACTCTTCTATTCTGTGCCACGATCATAAAAATCGTACTCCTTCTCCCGAAGTTACGGAGTCATTTTGCCGAGTTCCTTCAAGATGATTCGCTCAACGCCTTGGTATATTCTACCAGCAGACCAGTGTCGGTTTAGGGTACGGTTAAATAATTAGATCATTTCCTGAATTTTAAACTAATACTACACCATTACTGATATAGATTAATATTAAAACTGTTATCTAAATTAGTTTTTCTCATCGATTACTCCTATCGGAGTTCACTCATATAGAGCCCCACCGGAGTGAGGCCTTGGCTTTAAAAATCTTAGAGGCCGTTACTTTACTCATGGAGGTTGAGCCTAGCCATGAAACCCTTCTGCTTTCGGCGAGTGGGATTTTATCCACTTTTACGTTACTCATGTCAGCATTCTCTCCTCAGTTATGTCCAGATAAGGAAACCCTATCCTTCAACCATGTCCTGAGTGTTCCGCTACCCTCCAACATTCTTTATAATGTTGGGACAAGATCTCGGTATACTACTTAGACCCGATACATTGTCGGTGCCCTTGAAACTTATAAATACAGACCATTGAGCTATTACGCTTTCATTAACGGATGGCTGCTTCCAAGCCCACCGAATGGTTGTGTAATTTCATGGACTACCTTAATTTCACTTAGTAGTATTTAGGGACCTTAATTCTTGTTCTGGGCTGTTTCCCTCTCGACTAAAGACCTTAGCACCTATAGTCTGACCGTCCTTTATTAACTGTAAACCATTCCGAGGTTAGATTCCCAAACAATAAATGTTTGGGAATCGGTTAAATAACCGATTCTATTGATAGAGCCATCACGACCCCCCAATCAAGTCCACAAGGGACATAGTATCCAGTGCTGTACCAGTTTACAGATACGAAGGACAACATACCAAAATATGTTTCGCGGAATACCAGCTATCTCCAGGTTAGATTGGCCTTTCACCCCTTACCACAACTCATCCAAGCCTATTGCCACAGGCACTGGTTCGGTCCTTAATGACCTGGTCATGGTAAGATCACCTGGTTTCGGGTCTAATCCATGGTACTTACCCATTTAACGTAGTCGCTTTCGCTAAGTATTTCTACTTGCACCACAGATTAACTCGCTGACCCATTATGCAAAAGGTACGCAGTTATCTTGTATTTAAACTCAGATTCCTGCTGCTTATAGAACTACCGGTTCAGGATCTTTTCACCAGTTACCTACTTACTTTTCAACTTTCCCTCACGGTACTCTTCACTATCGCTCAATACATCATATTTAGCCTTAGAGGATGGTTCCCCTATATTCAGACAAGTTATCTCTCATCTTACTTACTACTTTTCTAATTTATCTTATTACGGGACTTTCACCCTCTATGGTTTGTCATTCCAGACAAATTATAATTTAATTTTAATTCCCACCAAAAATGGAAATTCACGGAATGGTAAACCATTCCGTTAGAAAATAGGCTAACCCGCTTTCGCTCACCACTACTAACGGGATCTCGGTTGATTTCTTTTCCTTCTACTACTTAGATGTTTCAGTTCGTAGAGTTATTATTATATTGGTTTCCCTTAGGATTTTCGTAATTATTAAATCATTCATTACGAATTTTGGTATAAACTACCTCCTTTGGATGTATTGGCTAGTCATCCCCGATAGTCCCTTTTTCATCTTGGTAATACATTACATATCATTATTTGATACTTATTTTATTAATAGTTTTATTAAAAATAACCAATGTTAACTCGTTATTTACATAGAATTATTTAATTATACCACACTCAGGCCCGTCAGGCGGGTCCTTATTTATCAGGCTATTTTGCTATCCTAATAATTGCAAGAGTAGAGAGTAACCTAATTAATATTAAGGGGTTTCTATTAGCAATGATATTTATTTAATTCGCAAAATGATTAGGCAGGTTAAGAACCTGCCTAAATTTATTAGTGCCTATATATATTATATATATTAATTTTAACTATTTAGTTTCCCATTAATTTAATGGTACTTATAGAATCTACCACGAAAAGGTAAGTTAAACTTCCCCGATTATAATCGAGGGTTATACTATAGTCTTGGGCCCGCCGGGCGGTCCTGTACCCCTTGGGGCGGGGGGCTGCCCCCGGCGGGGCTAAAAATATTGAACTCTTCTAGGGGTAAATTCACTCGGCGGGCTCTTGGGAAATTTATCATAATTCTGTCCGGAGGGGCGCAGCCCCTCTGGATCGGTCCGGCTGCGCCGGGCCAGTCCTTTTTAAGACCTTTGATTTTTCGTATTTTTAGAATACTGATTGGCAATATCTATCAAGAATATAGTATATTAGATTCCAAAACCCCGCGCACGTAGCGCGCGGGGTCCGTCCCGCGGGCCGCAATGCGGCCCGCGGGTCTAGGGATTATATTTAATAATTCCTAAGCCCGGGGGGCTTGCCCCCTCGGGTATCTCCCGAGGGGGAAGTTAACACTCAATTAAGAGCCCCGGCGGCGCGTAGCGCCGCCGGGATAAGAAATCCGGGCGGCTTAGCCGCCCGGGCCCTGGCAAGTATAACCAATTAGGTCCGCGGGGCTAATGCCCCGAGTAAACCTATTTAACCGCGCCAAAGGGCCGCGGAGCGGCCCCTTGACATAGTTAATTATTTAGACGCTAAGAACATTCGAGCTGATTGTACTAACATAAAGTTAGGTAAAATGTATTTAGATGCTACATATAGTAAAACCATAAGTAGAAGAAATGCGAATGATACTTGGTTTAAGAAATAAAATGGAACTAATTGTGGCATTATTTTCTAAAAATTATTAATAAGTTAAGGGAAATCTTCCACAGCAAAGCCGTAGATTATTATAAATAATAAACCATATAATAGGGTTTATTATTTAGTTTCTTTTATTCTAAAATCTTAGGTCTGGTTAACCTGGACCTAGAATACAAGGCGTCTATCTTAAATACATTATTTAATATTGTTATTATGTGTATATATATTATATTAAATAAGTCGAAAAGAGCGCAAAGCGCCCCCTTTTGATAAGGGCCTCAAGTTTAATATAAACCCTATATTATATTTATATAAACTGTATAATTTATTATCAGTATTAAAGTAAAAGATAGTATAAAATAACATAAATTTTATCCGGGGTATCCGCCTTGGTTATTAAATTTTGGATTTATAACTAAACTGAGGTTAAGCCACAGTACCGAAATTATTTCGGAATAGCAGTATTATTTTATTAGCCCCGGGTCTATAGACCCGGGTCAAAGGTTCCCATATTTAAGGTTCCGGCGATCGCCGGAACTAGGACCAAAGATTTTGTCTTAGGTTATAATATTATACATAAAATATATAATATTTAGGAACTCAGTCTTAGACCAAATTATATTAAAGTGATAAACCACTTATTGTCTATGAATCAATGCCGAGTTCGGCATTGAGGCTGAGAGCGATTACGGCTGCTTCCTGTAAGGGGGCGTTGGACGCCCTTAATCTTTTAATATAATTACTGTTTTCTCTATTTAAGAAGTAACAATCTAAATTATAACTATGATTTTATCACTATTGGTTACACCTATTTTAGGTGTTATTGGTGTTATCTTATCTGGAGAAAATACTTCTTTACAGAAAAAGGTAGCTCTTACTAGTTCATTATTAACTTTTGTATTATCTTTAGTTCTTTGGGCTGGATTTGATTCTAATTATAATGGATTCCAATTTGTTAGTTCTTTCCCTACTGTAACTACTCAAGAAGTAGTAGGAGTAGATGGTATTTCTTTATTTTTTGTTTTACTAACTACACTTATTATCCCTATTTGTATTTTAGCTAGTTGGGAAAGTATTAAAACAGGAATTAAATATTTCTTAATCGCTTTCTTAGTTCTAGAAACTTTATTAATCGCAGTATTTGTAGTTCTAGATTTATTATTATTCTACATTTGTTTCGAAAGTGTATTAATCCCTATGTTCTTAATTATTGGTATTTGGGGTGCACGAGAAAGAAAAATTCATGCAGCTTACCAATTTTTCCTATATACTTTATTAGGTTCTTTATTTATGTTATTAGCTATCCTAGTAATTTATTTTGAAGTAGGATCAACTGATTACCAAGTATTAGCAGTAGCAGATATTAGTGAAACACGACAAAGAATTTTATGGTTAGGATTCTTCTTATCATTTGCGGTAAAAGTTCCTATGATTCCTTTCCATATTTGGTTACCTGAAGCTCATGTAGAAGCTAGTTTAGCCGGATCTATTATTTTAGCTGGAGTTTTATTAAAATTAGCTGGTTATGGATTCTTACGATATTCTATTGCTATTTTACCAGATGCTTCTGTATTCTTTACTCCTCTTGTTTATTCTTTAGCCGTTATTAGTATTATTTATTCATCTTTCACTACTCTAAGACAAGTAGATTTAAAAAAAATTATTGCTTATTCTTCTGTAGGACATATGAATATTACTTTATTAGGTTTATTCAGTAACACAATTCAAGGAATTGAAGGATCATTAATCCTTATGCTTGCTCATGGAGTAGTATCTCCAGCATTATTCATTTGTGTAGTAATTTTATATGATCGATACCATACTCGACTATTAAAATATTACCGAGGATTAACTCAACACATGCCTGTATGGTCTATTATGTTCTTCCTATTCACATTAGGTAACATTGCAGTTCCATTATCTGCCAACTTTGTAGGTGAGTTTATGACATTCACTGGAGCTTTCCAACAAAATCCTGTACTAACTGTATTAGGAGGTTTAGGAATGATTTTAAGTGCTGCGTACGGTATCTGGTTATATAACAGAACTGCATTCGGTGCTCAAAGTCGATATTTAGCCCCAATGGGTGATATTAACCGACGAGAATTTATGACTTTAGTACCATTATTATTCTTAATGTTTGTAATGGGAGTATTCCCTAATTTATTCTTAGAGCCTATGCATTTAGCAGTATCTAATTTATTAATTTAATTAATAACCACCCCCCCCTATATATTAAATACTTTATTTATAAATATAGAGTCCTGCGTCTGCGGGGGTTCACCTTCTTTATAACCATTCATATTCACCTATAAATAATTTACTATGGGTTTTATATTATATAGTTATGACCCAGGAGCTTCGCCCTTGGCTTAAGATGATACACCTGAGGGGGCGCGGGGCTTGAACCTAATTAATAAATCTAAGTAACATAGTAATCCACCTACCTAAATATTTTGTATAAGTAATGGATTAAGGGGTTGTAACTTAATCGGTAAAGTTCCCGACTTTTAATCGGTATTATTAGGGTTCAAATCCCTACGACCTCAATTAATTTGTTTCAAATATAAGTAAAGAATAAATTTTTAAAAAGATCTGGACGTAAAACGTTTAGGATTAAAAAGGCCGGCCAAAGGCCGGCCCTTTGAGGAGTATAGTTAAGTTGGTTATAATTGGGATCTCCAAAATCTTTGTCGTGGGTTCGAATCCTACTACTCCTGGTTATAAAAGCCGACGGCGGTCAGAGAGCGCTTTAGGCACCCTTGGCTTTGTTCAGACCGAAAATTACCTGAACAGGTTTTACCTAAGATCTACAAGCCAGAAGTTGTTTATATTTAAAAATTATTATAATATAAGAATAATAACCGCGCGGGTATAACCCGACGTTACCCTAGTGGTACAGAAAGACTTTTCTCTCTGGGCTTTTATCAGTCTGGTAACTCAATCGGTAGAGTGATATGTTGATAACGTATAAGTTAGAGGTTCGATCCCTCTTCAGACTATAAAATATTTAAGGTCCCCCGGGCGACCCCTCGCCCGGAGGGGCCACGGGGCCGCCCGGCGGACCCACGGTACAATAAAAATTGGTGTATATACTTAAGGCCATTTTTAAACTATAGACCTTGACTCTTTGAACTAGGTTTACCCTAGCCCGGGGAGCCGCATAACAGCTCCACTGATCTGACCCGCGCGCGCTCCGCGCGCGGGGCTAGGCTAAATCTATAAGGTATATGGCTGACTGGTAAAGCATTTTACTTGAAATAAAACATATGTGGGTTCGATTCCTACTATACCTAAATTATAATTATTGTAGAAGACGTCCTTAATATTATATTAATAGATCAGGACTTCGCCTGAAATTCAGGGGAGGTTATCCTTAAGCCCGGGGGGGCTTGTCCCTCGGGTATTCCCCCTCGGGGGAAAGTATAATTAATTATTATTAAAAAGTCCCGGTAGCTTAAATGGTAGAGCGTACGACTGAAAATCGTAGTGAGGAAGTTCAATTCTTCCCCAGGACAACGAGAATAAAGGTTTTAATTATTAATATATAACTCTAAGACAAATATTTAATTTCAGTATATATATACAATTATATATTTTAAATTTTATGTAAAAGTATAGAGTTTTTAAATATAATCTTTAAAAAACACAGGAGGGCTACCCCCTGAATCCTTGACGGTGCCTTGCGCCTTCAAGACGAAATTAAACTTTTTTCAAACCTCGATTTTCGAGTTGTTATAATGAAACTTATAGGCTTAATCGCAATGGACGGTACCCGCTGTCCCGGGGCCAAAACCCCGAAAAGAGCGAATTAAAGGTTAAACTTTATTGGTTTCCGGGCTTGTAAGAATCAAGGTCAACTTAGTTGACCTTGATTATAGTATTACATTTATAAAGTTAACTACAAATAAACATAATGAATTTATCGATGGTATTATTTCTTATTGGTATTCTAGGATTTATTCTTAACCGAAAAAATATTATTCTAATGCTAATCTCCATCGAAATTATGCTATTAGCTGTAACGCTATTAATTATCTTAAGTTCATTTAGTTTTGATGATATTCTAGGTCAAACTTATGGTATTTATATCATTGCGATCGCAGGAGCAGAATCAGCTATTGGACTAGGTATTCTAGTTGCATATTATAGATTAAGAGGTAGCATCGCTATTAAAGCATAATGTATTTAGCTATTATTACACTACCTCTATTATCAGCTACTGTAGCTGGATTTTTAGGGAGAAAAGTTGGTAAAACTGGTAGTCATTTAATTACTTGTAGTTCTCTAGTTTTAACAGCTTTATTTGCTTTAGTTGCTTTTTACGAAGTAGGATTATGTCAATCACCAGTTTCTATTAAATTAATGAGCTGGATTGATTCTGAGTTCTTACTAGTATCTTGGGGATTTATTTACGATAGTTTAACTGTATCTATGTTACTACCAGTACTTATTGTATCAGCTTTAGTACATATTTATTCTACAAATTATATGAGTGAAGATCCTCATAATCAAAGATTCTTTGCATATCTATCTATGTTCACATTCTTCATGTTAATGTTAGTAACAGGTGATAACTATTTAGTAATGTTTATTGGTTGGGAAGGAGTAGGTATTTCATCTTACCTATTAATTAACTTCTGGTTTACAAGATTACAAGCTAATAAAGCAGCTATTAAAGCTTTAGTTATGAATAGAGTAGGAGATTGGGGGTTCAGTATTGGTCTTTGGGCTATTTTCTGGACTTTCGGTAACCTTGATTTTTCAACAGTATTCTCACTGGCTCCATTTATTAACGAAGAATTAATTACAATTATCTCAATTTGTCTATTAATTGCTGCTATGGGTAAATCTGCTCAAATTGGTCTTCACACTTGGTTACCCGACGCAATGGAGGGACCTACACCAGTTTCAGCATTAATTCATGCAGCTACTATGGTAACTGCAGGAGTTTATTTACTTCTACGATCTTCTCCTATTTTAGAATTTGGATCAACAGCTTTAATTTTAATTACTTGGGTAGGTGCATTAACTGCATTCTTTGCAGCAACTACTGGATTATTACAAAATGATTTAAAACGAGTAATTGCTTATTCTACTTGTTCTCAATTAGGTCTTTTATTCCTAATTTGTGGATTATCTCAATATAATGTAGCATTATTCCATTTAGTAAATCATGCATGGTTTAAAGCCCTATTATTCTTATCTGCTGGTTCTGTTATTCATGCAATGAATGACGAACAAGATTTAAGAAAATTTGGTGGATTATCTAGATTATTACCATTCACATACTCTATGATGGTTATCGGATCTTTAAGTTTAATGGCATTACCATTCTTAACAGGATTCTATTCTAAAGATTTAATTATTGAATTAGCTTATGGACATTACAGTTTCTCAGGTAATTTAGTATATTGGTTAGCTTCTGTAGCTGCAGTATTTACAGCTATGTATTCTATCCGATCTTTATATTTAACTTTCTTAGGTTACCCAAATGGATCAAAAATTAATTACCAAAATATCCACGAAGCTCCACTAATTATGGCTATTCCATTAGTAGTATTAGCTGTATTTAGTATTTTCTTTGGTTATGTAACTAAAGATTTATTTGTTGGAATGGGTACAGATTTCTATAATAATGCATTATTTATTCATCCTAACCATTCTATCTTAGTAGATACTGAATTCGGACTTCCTATGTCTATGAAATTCTTACCATTAATTGGTAGTCTATTAGGAACTTTCGGAGTTTTAGCTATTTATTGGATTTTCGATTCATTACCTAACCAATTTATTAGTACTAGTTTAGGTCGAGGAATTTATCGATTCTTTAACCAAAAATACTTCTTTGATAATATTTATAACAATTTTATCTTAAATAAATTATTAGGTTTTGGTTATACAACTAATAAAATCCTTGATAGAGGAGCAATTGAATTAGTTGGACCTTATGGATTAGTTAATGTATTTAAATCTGCATCTAATAAAGTTGCATCATTAGATTCTGGATTTATCCCTACATATGCTATGTATATCTTCAGTGGTTTAATTCTATTTATTACTTTAATCTTCTTTATTGGGGACCCAAGACTATTTGTTCTACTATTATGGGCAGTATTCTTATTACCTAATAATACTAACTCTACTCAAAAATAATAACCCCCCCTCTCCCTCGATATCATAATTAATACCTTCTCGTGGTGATATTGTAAGTACCATTAATTAATGGGAAACTAAATTAATTTAAATTATACTACTCAAAGGTCAGCTCCTTCTAAGCAAGAGTTACCCGAGGCCTAAAGTTCTATATTAGAATTAAATAAATATATAATATAAAAGATCTATAAAGGTATAGTTTACTATAGGGTTTAGTTAAGGGGGTGGTTATTCATTTTATTAGATTTAATAATTTATTTTATTTATAGTGTTGTTAAATAAATACCTGTAGAAATTAATAGTAATGAACATGTTAATACTAATAATTTTAATACATTTGGGTTAAATGTTAAAGTGTGTCCATAAATCTTAAAAAATATTTGTACAACCTTAGGAGCTTTATCAATGTTATCATCTGTATATTTTAGTGTAAGATGATTTAAGTATAACATTGTAATAGCTGAGGAGATTGAAACAATACAACCTAAAATTGTAATACCTGCATAATTAACTACCTCTGATGATACATAGTTAATAGGGTCTAAATCAACTGATGAAATATTATTCGTTACAGATAAATCTGTATTAGTTACAGGTACAGATTCATTTGGAAGTGTTTTAGTAACAACTTCTTGTAATGAAGAATGTGAATTATTAGATAAATTATTATCATCTAAGCTGGAAAGCTCAGATAATAATTTACTTGCTTTAGTTTCCTCTAAAGCCCAATCTTTAGGTCCATTAAAAAACTGATCTAAATTAAATAAATATTTTAACATAATTTCTTTATAAACGATATCCCTTAGATAAATTAATATATTGACATCAAGCTATTAAAGCTTAGTGTATTATTTTAATTACCAATAATTAATAATTCATAATAATTAAATTATTAATTACTTACTTATAAATTTATAGTTCATAGGGTTTATGGTATTATGTTCATAATACCTATATATAATACACAGTCGAAAAAGTTAATTATTAATAACGAGGGCCCGCGGGCGGCCCCTTTTCCCCTTGGGGTCGCCCGCGGGGCTCTAGATATAATATATTATACATAAAATGGTTAATCCTAGGCTAAGTTGGCTGAAGGCGCAGCCTTTTGTGAAAGCCCTCCTGGCTCTGGCTTCATCTCAAATGAATAGAGTGGGACTCGAACCCACAAGGATTATTAAATCCATAGTTTAGCAAACTACTTCCTTACCGATTCGGTCATCTATCCGAAAATCCATCGAAATAATCGAAGGGTCCAGCCTGTACTTAAGTAGGAGGCCAAATGGGAATTATTAATATAACACCATTAAAAATGGTTACTTGGATGATTTAATCATCTAAGATGATAGGGAATAGTAGAATCGAACTACTGCCAGTTATGTGTAAGATAACCACTCTACCATTAAGCTAATCCCCTTGTAGTATAAGACATATAAAATATTTGTTACTTATATAAATATACTTCAAGGTGTTCATTATTGAGGCCCGCCGGGGCGACCCGTCGCCCGGAGAGGCTCCGGGCCGCCCCCGGCGGCCCGAGGTAATTATTGTTTTATCAATAGATCGTAATTTAGTAGCCCAGATGCAAAGCCTCCTAAGCTTATAGATCCAAACGGCTGTCGGGAAGGAGGAAGAAGGATTTAATCCGTTTAGACCTGGCCCGCCGAAGGCGGGACTGGTCAAAATGGGATCCCAAGGGATCTCCTTTAGACCTGAAGATATAAATTTCTTTATATAAATATAAAGTAAAGGGTCTAAAGTAAAGGGTGAAAACCCGGAATCGAACCGGGAACCGTTAGTACCACAAACTAATGTTCTGCCGATTGAACTATTCCCACCTACAAATATTACACAGCGTTTCAGAGGAGTTGAACCTCTACCAACAAGAGCCGAAATCCTGTACTCTACCAATTAAGCTAGAAACGCTCTGAAAATATATTTATGAATATTTATATCATAAATATATGTAATATTCTAGCCCGTGCTATATGTGCTGGATTAGTAATCTTTTCCAAAATAAATGCTTTGTACTTAGATTCTAAAATATCTAAAATCGGGGCCGCAAAGCGGCCTTTGTTTATCTGCAGCTCCGCGGTTGATGAACCTTATTATTACTTATAAATTGATCATATTACACTAATCTATGCGCACAGGTCCATTTTTAATAAAAGACAGGTTAGCCATGCCGGGCTTTTAATAAATTAAAAATATTTAATTTACAATTAAAAACTGCGCCCGTCGCTGCCCAAGAGATATTGAGGGCCGCGTCGCGGCCCTCAAGGCTTAAAAGTATAAGTAATATACTAATATTAAATAAAAGAAAGCAAGTGTAGCATAATTGGTTAATGCCCCTACCTTCCAAGTAGACTACTGCGAGTTCGAGTCTCGCCACTTGCAATTATTCTATTAAAAAAGGGGTATGAGTATTTATATAATAAAATTCGGGAAAACCCCGACCTCTGAATCCTTATGACACGGAGATTTTATATTTATAGTAATTACTATATAAATAATGATATTGATAGACGAGGCAGGTGGGACTTGAACCCATATCCACTTACGTGACAAGTAAGGACTCTACCATTAAGCTACTGCCCCTAATTATCTAGAGCCCTAGTGGTCGATCTTCAACTATAAGAGGTCGACCTACAAACCTTTGCCCAATTTATAGGGCATGGCCTTTACAGATAAATTAAATATTACGATTGGCAGGACTTGAACCTGCAAGGTATTACTACCAGCTGAACCTAAATCAACCATGTTTGCCAATTTCATCACAATCGTTAATGGAAATGTTACTTATATAATATTTTATTTTATAAAATTAAAATATTATAGTTTAGGGTTCCGATCATCTTAATAAGACGGTATATTCTTTCAGGCCCGTATTTATAAGACAGGCTTATGATAATTACTCACCCCAGGTTTCGATCCTGGATTTGGGTATTAGAAGTACCCTGTTCTTCCTTTGAACTAGGTAAGCGAAAGTTTAAAGATACGATTGATTAAGATAAAATTTGGGTGAAACTTTAAACTCACCTCGGGCCGCCGGGGGCGGCCCGGAGCCTTTAGGACTCCGGATCGCCCCGGCGGGCCTGAATATTTATTTAGAAGACCAGACCGCGCAAAGCGCGACACGGATATTAAATAAGGGCAGCAGAGCCGCCCAAAATTAAGTTATTACCTGATGTTCTATCCAGATCTTCGGTATTTATCTTTAATATAGGGATTATATCAGGTTGGTAAGATTTGAACTTACACTATTTTACACCCAAAGTAAATGCCTTACCAGATTAGGCTACAACCTGTTTATAACCTAGGTATATGCATGAACCTAAGGCTTATAAATTGGAGTTACCGAGACTCGAACTCGGACTACTCGTATGCAAAACGAGCCCTCTACCATTTAAGGGATAACCCCGATGAACTCGAGAACAAATTATAATACTATTATTTAGATTGTTGAAGGACCACTGAAGTGGTCCTTATTATATAGACCTAGCGGTTTTTAATTAGGTTTGTTATTTGTTACTTATATAATATAAAATTAGACTAGCCCGCGGAGCCGCGTAGCGGCTCCGCTGGTCTGACCCGCGCGCTCTGCGCGCGGGGCTAGGGTCAAATATTTTAATTTTTTATTTTAAATCTAGAGTAAAATCCATGAATTTAAATTTAGGCCCGCCGGGGCGACCCGTCGCCCTAAAAGGCTCCGGGCCGCCCCGGCGGCCCGAGGTATAATTTAGACCTTCTGTACTTCAATATAACCTTGGGATATTTAACAGGTTTCAGGTCTGAGCATCCTGCTGCTCATCCAGGTGCTTCGTGGATAAAACAATTATACGACCTGACCAAATATAATTTATTTTATAAGTTAACAATATAAAAGTATATACTATTTTAATAAATTCTTTGAATATCTTAAACCGGAATATAATGCTGTTATAGTTCAAAGGTAGAACGGTAAACTGTTAATTTATGTATAGAGGTTCGATTCCTCTTAACGGCTATATAAAATTCCATAGTGGTTATACCACCTAAATAAACAATTTAAAATTTATTTAATAAATATTGGAAAATTTCTTTAATTCTTGAACTGACAACATTAAATTAATTAGTCCCGGAGTTCCGGGACTAATTTTTGATAAGTTAGTTTAGGGTTTATTAATTGGTTTAAGTCCCGGAGTTCCGGGAACCTAAGATTAAATATTTTAGATTCACGATATAATATACGCCTTATATAGTATATATATTATACCCATATATCGTTATAGTAATTCATACGATTAGAAAAAACAAGAATCGCGAAGTGGTCTTTACCTCTTTCCCTGATTATAGTCAAGGGCGATTTTAAATAATTCATGGGTGTATGGAATTATATTCTAGCCCGCGGAGCCGCTACGCGGCTCCGCTGGTCAGACCCGCGCGCGCTCTGCGCGCGGGGCTAGGTGAATTTTATAATTTCCAAGGAAGTTATAAATTAGCTCCAAAGGCAGATTTTATGTCTTTAGAGTGCGGGCATAGCCTGGGCCCTAATTTAATAGGGAATTTTTAGTTTACATGAACGCAATTCTATTAGATCTGTTGGCTTTTGGTTCAGTATTATCAGGTATTTTAGTAATTACATCACGAAATCCTGTTATTTCTGTTTTATTTTTAATTTCTACTTTTGTTAATGTTGCTTGTTATTTAATTTTATTAGGAATTAATTTTATTGGGCTTACATACTTAATTGTATATGTAGGAGCAATTGCTATTTTATTTTTATTCGTTATTATGATGTTAAATATTAAATTAGTTGAATTACAAGATTCTTCAGAAGATTATTCTAACCCATACCCATTAGCTTTTGTATTAGGTACTTTATTTGTTAGTGGTTTAAGTTTAACTAACTCAAATTTTTCTAAATTTGATTTACCTTCAATCTTTGATTCTATTAACTTATTATCATTTAAATCTGATACATTGGAAACATTAACAGTTAGTCATACAAATTGGGATAGTGTATTTGTATCTATGGATCAAATCAACAGTATTGGTCAAGTATTATATACATCTCATGCATTATTCTTAATTATTGCGAGTATGATTTTATGTTTAGCTATGGTAGGACCAATTGTTCTTTGTTTAAAACCAACTAAACGAATTAGTTAATATTATTAATAAATTGGTACCAAGCACAGCTTAGGTCCTATACATTAATTATAAGCGTATTTAACTCGTTTAATATTAAAATATGGTTAATAACCAACCCGGGGCGGGCGAGCCGCCCCGTACCCCGTGGGAAGGCGAGCTCCGCCTCGGGGCTAAATAAATCTACTAAGCTTTAATAGCTTGATGACAATAGAATTAATAATAAATTAAATCTTTTGATCAAAGGCAAACTATATTTGTCTGGTTCTGAAATTTAAGTATATTTTACTTACCTTAGATTATAAATTTAGTCAGCGGGCCGTTTTACGGCCCTACAGAACCATCAAAGATTAACTTATTATTCATGTATTATAATTTACTCATGTTATTATCATTTATTGAGGTACTTATTGTTATTGTACCATTATTATTATCTGTAGCTTTCATGACAATTGCGGAACGAAAAGCTATGGGTTCAATGCAAAGACGATTAGGACCTAATCGAGTAGGATACTACGGTTTACTACAACCATTTGCAGATGCATTAAAACTATTTGTTAAAGAATCAGTAATTCCTGCTCATTCGAATAAAGCTTTATTCTTATTAGCACCTGTAATTTCTTTAATTACTAGTTTATTAGCATGGGGAGTAGTTCCTTTCGGTGCAGGATTAACATTATCAGATCTTAGTCTAGGTATTTTATATCTATTAGCTGTAGGTTCTTTAGGAGTATACGGAGTAATTTTTGCAGGTTGGTCCGCCAACTCTAAATATGCTTTCTTAGGAGGATTACGAAGTACTGCTCAAATGGTTAGTTATGAGGTTGTAATGGGATTAATTATTCTTACTGTAGTATTATTAGTAGGATCATTAAATCTAACTAATATTATTCAAGCCCAAATTAATGTTTGGTATATTATTCCATTATTACCACTTTCTCTAATGTTCTTAATTTCAGCAATTGCTGAAACTAATAGAGCTCCTTTTGATCTACCTGAGGCGGAATCTGAGCTAGTAGCCGGATTCTTTACTGAGCATTCTTCTGTACCTTTCGTAATGTTCTTCTTAGCCGAGTATGCTTCTATTATTTTAATGTCTACATTTGTAGTAATGTTATTCTTAGGAGGATACTTAATTCCTTTCGTATCTTTTGAAAACCCAACATTCTTCTCATTTGAAGGATTAGCATTAGGTCTTAAAACTTCTTTAATCTTATTTATTTATATCTGGGTACGGGCATCATTCCCAAGACTACGATATGATCAATTAATGAGTTTCACATGGACAGGAATGTTACCATTAACTTTAGGATTTATTATTTTAGTACCATGTATCTTAATGGCTTTCGAAATTGCTTAATGATTAAGATACCCGACAAATAGTCTTACCAAATATTACCTGGTAAACTATGTCTAATTTATCTAACTAATATTTATAACCACCCTATATTTAAAAGGGTATAGTATAACATAATTGAAGGGGTATAGTATATTATATATGACTATTGGTTATGGATATTACATTTATAAAATATATGAATTAGTTTCATTGATAAATTACAGAATAACACATATATATATATTTAAATTAATTTAAATATATAGTATAATCTCCTTTATTTAGTAAATGAGGGTGGTTATTTATTTAATTAATATAAAATCTTAATAAGATATAAAATCTTATTTAGGATTACTTACTGTAAATTATTTAGTCGATGCTGTTTTATTTTCATCTGCTGCTAAATCCATTAAAGTATTCTCAATAATACCTACTGCAGGAACAATAATTAAGAACCAACCAAAGTAAAATGCTGTTGCAAATTGTCCTAAAGTAATAAATGGCTCTTCAACATGTTGTCCTCCACACCATAATAAGATTAAGAAATCTACTACTAATAGCCAGAAAGCTAATTTCATTAATGGTCGGAATGCTGATCCTCTAACTCTAGAAGTGTCTAATACAGGCATAGCTAATAGAATTAATAGAGAACCGAACATAGCAATAACTCCTCCTAATTTATCAGGAATAGATCGTAAAATAGCATAGAAAGGTAATAGATACCATTCTGGTACAATAGATGCAGGAGTTTGCATTGGGTTAGCTGGAATATAATTATCAGGATGACCTAATTTATTAGGTGCATAGAATAAGAATAAAGCTAATACTAAGAAGAATAAGAAAATTGTTACTAAATCTTTAAATACGTAATAAGGATGAAGATAAACCATATCAGTATTTGCTGTAATTCCTAATGGATTATTAGATCCATTTTCTTCTTTAGCAATTAAATGCATTAAAGATAAAGCTGCTAAGATGAATGGTAATAAGTAGTGAAGACTGAAGAATCGGTTTAATGTCGCATTATCTACAGAGAAACCTCCCCAGATGAACTCTACTAAATCTTTACCAATCCAAGGGATAGCCGATAATAGGTTAGTAATTACAGTTGCTCCCCATAAAGACATTT